GGGGGGGGGTAGAGAAAGAAGAAGGTGCCTCATGATGTATGTGTAACCCATCCATGTATGACATGCCCAGGAAATAGCATGCACATGATGCCAAAATGGTGGGTCCTTTCATCCTCCTAAATCTAAGAATGGTGCACGGTGAGGAAAAGCAACAAACATGCATGTATTATTTGACCACGCATTGCACCCCATATTTTATATTTGTATTTAGGGCATGGCTAGGTCTCAGCCAAGTCTCAGTCAAGTGGCATAGTATAAGAAGAAAAAAAAACACTAATTTTTTTAAACGGATCTCCATGCAAAATCAAATGAATATAGCATCGACTGGGACATAACAAAGTCTCAGTCGACTGAGACTTAGCAAAATTGTTGTATTTATTCTTTTCTTTAGTTATGTTGTTTTTTAAATTTATATTGCACTGGTGTGACACTAGTTAATGTTGTATTAGCAACTAAAATATACTTCATTTTATAATGCCGAGCTACTAAAAACATAATAGTATGCAAAATTACGGGAGGCCTAAACTGTGTATTTTGGCATATGTATGTGACATGCATGCACTCAAATAGTCCTATCAATTCATCAAGCAATGCAACTAAAAAAACATTCAGCAAAGCTCACCTGAGTGAACATGATCATCAATTGCACGCGATGCAAAAATTTAACAGGAAACTCACCTGCATGCATGGATGTTCACCCGGACAAGACGCAATACCAAAAAAAAGTGAATGGCCTAAAATGAGAATTCAGTCACATGCTCAGTAGCCGGTCCCATAATGTTGCAACTTAGCCTATCGTACCATTTGGGTGAAAAATGCTCCTGCAATGAGGTAAGACGAGACAAATATAGACGATGCAGATTTGTGTCGGGTTATGAGAGGAAGAAGAACCGGCATGAGGAAGACGAAAAGGCGGGACATGGGAAGAACATTGAGGAACGTCCGTTTCATTGAATTTGAAAAACTTTATTTTCATAATATACAAGCTTCCAAGTTCATACTATATATTACGTACGTAGGCAAATGCATGGTTCCTACGACGATCCAAGCATGCGTTCAATGTTCATTATTTAAAATCCATTTTTTTCAAAAAGATTCAAAATCCATATATACACCATACCATAGCTAGCTGATAAAGCAATTAATACTCAATGTTGCATTGACTGATGTAGTACAAGTAGTGTTTATTTTCATATACAAGCTTACAAGTTGATGCTATTGCTATTACATAGGCAAATGGATCCTTTGTACGAGGATCCATGCTTTATTCAAATATAATAAATCTGTATATACGTCGTATTGCAGTCTGCAGCTGCATGGTATTGTATGTAGCTTATACAGTAGATGATAGATCATACTCGATGATGCATGGACTGACTGATGTAAGTAGTAGTAGTGGTGGTGTTTAAGAGCTGTTCATGGTTGGATAGTAGGCGACGGTGGCCATGCCGCAGTTGCCGCCGTTCCCGCGCGTGAGGCGCATGTAGCCCCCCTCACCCCACCCCGTCCCCCACTGATTCTTCACCAACCAGTATTCCTGCCCGCCGCCGTCCGCCCCGTACCCCACCACCGTCACGGCGTGGTTCAGGTTCTGCCCGCACGATGAACTACCGACGAACACGCCGCTCATGTAGTGCTGAAAGTCAGGGTCCGCCTCCACGCCCACGGCCACCGGTTGGCTGGCCGCCAGCTCCCGCAGCGCGTCCTCATCGCCGTTCAGGCCCACCCAGCGGGGGGCGCCAACGGAGGCGGCCGAATTTGGCATGACGCTGCGGCACGCGCCCCGCTGGCCGGTATACGCGTAGGCTGCCTCCGGCTGCAGGCCGCCGCTTGCGGCGACGTAACGTAGGGCGGCGATGACGGAGCCACCCTTGCAGGTGCTAGTGTCGCCCGTGCAGTCGAGCACCTGCTGCTCTGACATGGAGATGAGGTTACCGGTGGCGATCTGTACGAGCCCCTCGGTCGCCGCCACCGCCGCGAACGCCCAGCAACTCCCTGCACAGACGCAACGTTGTTTTTACGTACGTGTCAACATTTATTCATCTGCCAACTTTGGCCTGCAGATCCTTACCACATGAAGCTTGGTTCTTGACTTGGGTGACGGCGCCCTGGGCCCTCCAGTCCATGCTGTCCGGTGTGGACTGGAACTGAGCCTTGGACATGTTCACCGCGGCCACCGGCGTGTCCTCGGGACGGAGCCCGCCCGGCTGGTGACGGTACCCGAGGTGCTTCTCCACGAACTCTTCGTTGGTGAGGTCGGAGAACTGGTTGAGCCCGAGGGTGTACGTCCGGTTGCCCGCCCGGTTGACAGCGTCTACGTGGCGCGCGTTGGCCGCGAACACCTCCTGCCGGTGCAATTTCTCGGCAGCGTCGGTGTACGCGCGCCCGTACTTGGCCATCCACCGCTCGTGCCGGGCGGCCAGCGCGTCCCCTCGCGCCGCGGCAGCGCCGACAAAGGCAGTGGCGGCCACGAGCGCGAGCAGAAGCGCGAGCAGTGTGCCGTCGTGGCGGCGAGAGCTGTTACTGTGAATCGGCGCCATTTTTCTAGCTAGCTAGCTAGCTAGTTTGCTTGCTTCTTCTGGCAATGCAATGGCTTACGAGCGAGCTGCTCCTACTAAGCACGTAGCAACCATGCTGCCCGCGCTTCTATTTATACGCGCGCGCATGGCGAGCAAGACGGGGCATACGAGCGGATTCCATACTTTTCGTCGATGGATCCGCGCGCGTTCATACGCCATAGTCGTACGTACGTATTGACTGGGAGTCCATGGATGTTTGTATCCGACGACGGTGCTTGTTCTCGTCTCTCTGTATACTCTTCTTCTTCTTCTTCTTCTACTTCTCCAAAAAAAATTCTTGTTTCCCCGATGGTGAGGCAAAGTGCTCTGTCCACATGCCTATACCGTCGCACACGCTTAGGGCATGTACAATGGTTGATAAGATAGTTTTATCTTAAGTTTTGCATGTAATTTAGATATGACAAAGAAAAATGTCTACAATGGGTCATCTCTTAGCCTTATCTTCAATAATTAGCAATTCCTAAAAATGTGGTGAGACATATTGTGCTAAGAGATCATCTCTTGTCTTATCAAGAGAAGACAAGTCTTCTCTTATGAGTTCTCTCTTCTCCACCTCATTATTTATCCTACGTGGTACTTCTAAGATAGCACCATTGTACATGCTCTTAGAGCTGGAGTAGTACGTTCCTGCGAGATCGGAATTGGCCGGATCGGCGTGCAGTACTCTCCCATATAGTTTGGCCGATGTATGTGGTCTGGATTACAAGTTTGGCTTATATTTTCATAGGAGAACGACAAAACACATGACTTCTCATTCTATCAAAAAATTGTGGTAGATACATCAAATGTACTAGTATAAAGCAAGAAAATGTACATGGCTAACTTTTTTTTCTTGATCTATGATAAAAGTTCGCCGGAAGTACAAAAAATCTCAAACATAATAAAAATCCATTTCTGATTTGGTACACTGCCGCTAAACACAAAGACGGCTCAAATTAGCCCATGCCTCTTCATAAAAAAAGGCACGATGGTCATATTTTATAAAACATTTCGCTCGCTGTATACGTATACGCTGTACATGGAGTAGTGTTTATCTTTTTCTTTTAACCATCAAAAAATAGGTGCATGAAGTAGATTTCAAACTCCAAACCTCTTGGATCCCTTCCACCCACTACAACAAACTGGGCAGCTCACTTGGTGTGCCTAATTACTTCTTTTATTCGTTTTGTTGCGCATCCTCTTAGTCTGGCCTCCCTTTTTTGGTTTTTTTTTCAATTTTATTCGCCTTTTATTTATAAGCCACGGTTCAAAACGTGGGGGAGTGGAATTGTTTGCGCTCGCCTTTCCCACTTCCCAGCAAATAACTGCGCACGTACGCGCGCAATAACTGCCTCGAGAATGGCAACCGACTTGCGGACGTCGCAATAAATCCGCGCGCATGGGCCGAGGGCGTGCGGCCGCAGGCCCCAGCACGCCGCCCTGTCCCGTCGCGCGCGTGGCCTGTCAGGCCCCTCCGGCTCCCAGACGCCACGCGTCGCCCGCGCGAAGCCCAAAAGATTGCCTCAAAGATTAGGTGGACTCCTCAGTTTCCCGCCGCTGCTAGGATGCCGGGATCCGGCTTCCGTAAGCCGGCACACAGTGGGTGTTGCCGGACCCGTCGGTCATAAAATTTGCCTCCTTCAAAGGGGGAAACTGCGAAAGCCCTCCCATCCGAAGTCGGCAGACCTTCTCAGCTTCGGGGACTACTGTCAGGGGGATGAACCCCGGGCAGGCAACGGAACCGGGATCCATTTCAAAAAACGATGGGGCCAGCATCGCCCCTCAAGCCGGCTCGCGCTTGGCCGGGTCGCTCGACCCGGCCAAGTCCCTCGACCCGGCCTAATCCTCAACTCGGCCCCAACAGCCAGCTCAAGACAGCCGAGCCCGGCATACCAAGACTTCTCCAACAAGCCAGCTCCTCCCTTGGCGTGTTCTCCAACCTGGCCGAGGGTCAGCTCATGTCCCATCCCAGCCGTACGATGGGACGAGTCTCCACCAACTGATGACCAAAGCCATAGTACCCCGCCCATGCCTCTGGTCAGCCAGACGAGGCAACAGTGCCCCCACCTACCCGCTGACCAGGGCCAGCGTGGCAACAATGCACCCATCGTCACCAATGACGCCAGCAAGCGGCGACCTGACGGAGCGCCACTGTAGCCGACTCAACCCGGCCACTCCCTGACGATCGACAAGACGGCCAACAGTGCCCCCGTACCCGGCGGGTCCCACACCCGGGGAACCCGGCGAGGCCTGGTACCCGGTGGGTCCCAGCACCGGGTTCCTGGACACTGACGACCCGGCCCTACAACCTTGTAAAATTACCATTGTACCCCGAGGGTTTGGCCTATAAAATCCCCCAGGAACCCTCATGCATACGGGCGGATCAACTCTTTCACTCGCATAGGCGATCACTCACACACACCTAGTAAGCAACACCTGAGGGGAGGGAGCTGCCTAAGCCTTGGCCAGCCTTCTCTCTTCCTCCATACAGCTCTAGGAGCAACCCTGTACTGTTACATATAAACCACACTCGGCAGGATTAGGAGTGTTATCTCTCCAGAGAGCCCCGAACCTGGGTATGTCTTGCGTCCCGCGCTCTCTCATGCCGACCTCGCCTCTGCAGCCCACTAGTGCCTTCGAGCCTCCTCCTCTCTTTAGCCATCCCTTGGCATCTGCCGTGCGCCCACCACGACACAAACATTTGACTAAAAAGGTGAAAATAACCAAATTACCAAATTCTCTAGTTTGATAGCTCTTTGTGCATACTATCCTCCTGCGTTGCTCCCTTCAATTTATCCACTTTGCTCATGATGCTGAACGCCGAAAAGTATTGTAGATGCCAATGAATTGAATGTTATCTATCGTTCATTCCCCTTTTATAGTGCACCTTTAACAACACAATGAACACGTGAATTCCATCAGCTAAGCACATTATAGATACATTTGATTTATTCTGTAAAGGCAAATATAATTACACAGTGCAGTAAAAAAGGAGAGCCGAAGGCTTTGAATATGTAGAAGATAATGCAAAGGTAATTCACTAACCTCAACTAAAGCTGACATGCCAAGTATTTCCCACATTTTCAGCATTCATTTGATATGGCGATCCGGTAACACGGTAACAATTAGTAGAACATTATCTGCTCCTTTGGACCATGCATTTTAAAACTGCCAAGCATGGATGATGAACTCTCTGTGTACAGAAGAAGACACTATGTTCAGAACAACATATCATGAACCTTCTTTTCGTTTGAAATTCTACTGAACCTCATGAGCCTTTCATGCATTTGAATTATAACATATGGCGAGGTATACAATACCTTCACTACATTGTGCATAGCCTCAAGTAGTCAAAACTTCTCTGGTTACATGTTATAAAGGTATTCTTTGTTGTATGCGGGAACGAAATGTAGCTCACATGCTCATCCCAATCCTTAATGAAATGGAGCTTGCATATTCATCCCAATCCTTATTCAAACAGACCTTCTAAAATAAAAGATCCCTGAAGTAGTAAAGTGGAAAAATTGATGCTCCAGAAGGGCCTCTAGTTTTGACTCAAATTTGTGCTTAGCTGTCAACAATGAAAAAGATGTGAGCATTGCCCTTCATCAACCTCGCATGGCTCATAATAGCAGTACCATGTTTCTTTCTTTCTATGTTGGAGCATGTGTTTTGTTGTCCCTTCCTCCTGAAAAATTGTCTGATTCAAAATGGAGTTCGGAGTAAGGATGTAGATACTAATTATCGAACTCCCATTGAACCATTGCATCAGCATAAAACGTAGAGCAAGGTATGAAGTATATTTAGTGCAATGATTAATGTCTATCATCTATGTTATAATCCCAAACTGAGTGACCAATTTGAAAGGATTTCGCAGGATTTTTTCCTCATATATGTCTATCACGAGTTTGCTCATGGACTTTCGTTGGTGCAATATTTGACAACATTTTTAAGATGATACAACCATTGTGTTAGTCCAACAACCTTTGTAAGCAAACTATATATTAGTGCTATTCTCTAAGGGATAAGCATCAAATTAAACATGTGTGCATGCCATCTTTCTTAAGAAAGCAACGTAATTAAAGTATGTCTTACAAAATCTAAAAATTTGCAGCCTCTGAAACTGGCCAAACATTACTTGCCCCAAAACACATAGGGAGTAGGGGTGCACCCAGCGAGAAAAAAATTCGCATGTGGTCGAATAGGAGGAGAGGTTACCGGAGTTGAAGTCGGGGAAGCAACAATCGTGATGTAGTGGAGGCGGTCGGCAAGGTGGAAGCGTCCGAGGCAAGGCGCTGGAGCTGGGGAGTCAGGGAGACGACCGAGGTAGGGTGGATGACGTAGGTGAAATCGGCGTGGGTTGACGGAGGGGTGTTGGGTACTTGAGGACGGGGAGGTTGCCGACTTTGTGGTGCTGGCTCCCGCGACCAGCTGGGAAAGGCATTGGCATAGAGAGTGTGACGATGAGGTTGGGTGTGAGGCCATGATGCTACACAACCCATCCCAAGAAATCCATGCCGGCGGCCGCTGGCTCCCTTAGCTAACCAGGGTAGGCGTGGTGGAGTCGGCAAGGTCAGGGGTATGCGGTGCTTTGCTGCCATTGGGAGAGGCGGGGCGTCGTTCAACAGCCACGTGAGAGTCAATGCTTCTGATGCATAGGGATTGTGGATCTAAACCAGGAGGATGAAGAAGAGAAGAAGACATGGTTGCGCCAGATTGATGCGAGAGGATAAAATGATAAGGTGGGACCTACACAGTTTCTGGAGTCTATAAGACATCTGGTCTAATCTAAACAAATAAAAAAATAGCGCGCTATAACAAAATAGCACCAACTTTATAATTCACTATTAGCAAGAAATTATACACAGATTTATTTAATAAGACATTGCTCAAAACGCCAGAGCATACTATTAGCGGTGCTATAGTGTGCTATTTTTTTAGTGGTCTAAACACACTATAAAACTGAGAGTGAATAGTATTAA